TTTTTGATGATCCACAGGTCGAAATTTGAGGTTTACCGAAAAATTCGACTTTTCAAAAACTCATTTGTTCTCATCAGCAACATGCTTAGCACTGTTGTGTTAGATGTTCAGTACAGCTTTAAAAGGTTTTCGTTAACTTCGGAGAAAAAAAATGACTTTAAAGAAAAGCGCCAGGGATCATCAGGGATCATACAAAAGCTGGAAAATGCGGTTCGTACAGCTTCTCGCTTCTGCTCAACAGTATGTTCATAGTGAAGGGTAGTAGGAATACTTACGGATAGGTACACAACGTGAAATCCAGGTATCTGGAGTTTCGAAATATAAAGCTTTATTTCAAGCTGCGATCCCCTCCCGAGCGGGGAGGTTAGTGCATGCGGCCCTAAGGTCGTTATGAGCTTCCGCAATAGTGTCTTCGAGAACGGCATCAAAGCATGCACCTGAGTTACTTTCACAAACTTGTGTTTATATGATAGATGATATTATAGAAAATTATGAGTTAGAAGTGGAAAGTATATGCTGAATTTTTACTGAGAAGAACAAGCTTACCGTATACAGGGTGTCGTGTCCCAAAAAAATGTGAACACTGCTTAATTGTTAATAACTCAGTTGCTTTCATGTCTTTCGCCGAGCTTGAGGCACCATTTCGTAAAGCGAGGTTCAACTTAGATTTGCAGTATGAAGCATAACTCCGATCTTCCTTCGCTACTGTAGGATTTACGGTATGAACTTTTAGTGCGTGAATCCATTGTGAAATATGCCATTTGACAAACTTTTCCAAAAAATCTGAAAAATCGTGCATAATTCATTTATAAAATCGTGACGACGGATTTTACTACGGACTTTGCGCCCACATGAGCTAAATAGCTCATACAAGAAGGCATTACCTCAGCGTTTAGCTCACAAGGGAATGGTCAGAAGTCGAAGTGGCCAAACCAAACAAGCTGTATACCATTCGATGCATTATAAAACGCTGACTTCGAATCTGTCTTTCTTATCTGCTTCCCGCTTCTGTGGACGAAGCTACGAGCCATTAAAGACCATTACTTTGCTAAGAAATTACGCATGAAATTGAAAATTTAGCCGTGGTGAGCCATTTCGCCTCAATGCTGGGCCAAAACATGCAGCTAGCCTACTTCGAATTATTAAAAAAAGAAGCTGAGCTAAAAGTGCAACAGTGTGCTCAATTTCGCTGTATTTATGTGTGATTTTTTCACAATAAAACCGCTTGTAGCTTCGTCCACAGAAGCGGGAAGCAGATAAGAAAGACAGATTCGAAGTCAGCGTTTTACACTGCATCGAATGGTATGCACCTTGTTTGGTTTGGCCACTTCGACTTCTGACCATTTCCTTGTCAGTCACTTCCAGTGTCTAAATACTATCATACGTAAGCAAAAAACCATTCGAGAGATGGAAACCAAAAAAATGCAATTTTCGGAAGTGGCGTGCGTCTCGCGCGCGGTCGCGCCGTCGTCACAATTTTTCAAATGCCCTATACTAGGGTTTTCGCGCAAGCTTGTTCCAATACACAACTTTTTGCAAGTGTTTTTAGCTTTTTTGACGGTGTAATCGCATTTTTGACAAATGCTGGAAATTTAGCTATCACGTTTTACTTGGGATAACTTTGGAAAGAAGCATCACAGTAAAGCGGAAATTGCATATTGGAAATCAGCGGCTTCCATTACCATAGTATTAGAGTTTTTGGCTTGTCTAGTTTTGTTCCAAGCCAGAATACAGCCTCCAGTGGCCTAAAATCCTTATCGAAGTTCCTACCTTGATTACCTTGATTTTGCAGTAAAAAGAGCAGACGATAATCCGCTCCATACTGTGCATCTAAGTTGAACCTCGCTCTATAAAATGGTGCCTCAAGCTCGGTGAAAGACATGAAAGCAAGGGAGTTATTAACGATCAAACAGTGCTCATATTTTTTGGGATACCCTGTATTGGTGATGCATACTGCACAATTAGAAGTATCTGAATACATTCAATCAAGGATGACTCAGTGGAATGGGAAGAAGGCGCATACCGCAGCGGTGATTAGCATCTCAAACAAACTTGGCCCAGGCTTGCTTCCAAAACCTTAATTTATAATTGCTTGCTTAAATGCAACAAATGAAACATCAACAAGTATAATTGCTCATGGAATAATGATATTCAATTTTATGCTTCTGCGTGAGGTAGATGACAGCAAATTTTCAATGTTCAAAATCGTTTTGAACCTAAACCTAAACAACTTTTGCTTAGATGAGTATGATTAAGATCGTGTCCAGTTTACTAAACCAGTTTGATATTTGCTACAGTTGATAAGTCAAAAGCAACAAAAGGCGAATTTTTCTTCGAGTTTTTTTAGTGTAAACTTTCTGGCTATCCTAAGTCTGAGACAATGCTCCAATTTGTCATAGTTTCCCACTATTTTTGGCAGACGCGATAGGTTGAAGACGCCCATCCAAAGCGAGTGTACGAATTTGTGCCATTTAGTGTGCCTCTCACCCAGAGAGCAAACCTTTTCCAAGAAGGGAGGGCAAAAAGCTATTTCGAAGGCAGCGGCTCTGCAGAATGACGAACTTGGGGTATTCATCGTTCTCAATTCCCGTGGATGAGCTAAGTTCAAAACTGCGCTTTGCAGCTTCAAAAGATATCGATAACCCGCTTTTCCAGACGAGAAAAGTGCTATTTGGGCGGACGGCGTATGCCTGTCCTCTAGAGCGCGATTGGCTCGTGAGTGGAGATACCGTACCCATCTCGGCGGCAACTGGATTATTGCTCCAGCAGGCACTTTTGGATCCACCCAAACAGTATTTTTCACGTCCGGGAAAGCGAGATATTGATATAAAAACTGCAAAGCACAGTTTCAGACTCAGCTCATCCAAGGGAGTCACAACGAATATCCAAAAACCATTATTCTGCCGAGCCGCTGCCTTTGAAGCTGGCTATTTGCGGATGATAAGCTTGAACTTTATCCTCCTAGTAAGTAGGAAGAGGGCTCAGCAAGAGGTGGCTTTTCCATTATTAGTAGGAACAGGGCTCAGCAAGAGGTGGCTTTTCCATTATTTCGAAAACGAAGTCCCCGTTGACTTCGCCCAAACATACGACATCCCCTTTGACCGTTGATGAATGAAACGAACAAAAATAGCAAAGAAAAATACGAGTGTAAACAAAAGGGTGCGAAACAAACGGTAAAAAATAAGTAAATATCGTATTCTCCGACTTGGAGGCATATATTGTCCAGCGCGCATCATCGCGCGCCTGGAGCAGGATTGCCGCCGCCATGCAAAATTTGAGGGCTATAACTAAGCGGGTAGAAAGGCGTTTGGGAAGCTTAAGAACTCGTTTGTAGTGTTTTGGATGTAGATTGAAATTATGTAAAAAATTTGAAAGAATTATGTAAAGGGAGTGAAATTTATGACTTTTTCTTCTTACAGCCACCTCAGGTGTCTGTCCAGATGGCTGTAAAGCCACTTAACTCCGAAAAATGCCGCGACTTTGGTTCACATAACTTTTTCATAATTTTTTGCACATAGTACTACCCCCCCCCCCGTTGCCCACCTACACACCCATTTTGATGTCATTTCATTTACACTCCGCTGTAAACAAGCCCTTTGTTTGTTTGAGAGATCATGCTGCCGGCATGCCCGTGGCGTGCCGGCAGCAGATCGAGAGACAGTGGTATGCTCTTCCGCAAAAACGATATCTCCTTTGCTCTTTGCTTCCAAAAGATATCCAGCTTGCGCGGCAAGCTATGTACCTGTGCCGAGCCCTGTCAATGAATGCCCTAAATTGATAAATTTGAAAAAGGCTAAGGAAAAGAGTTGTCTTTAGGTGACCTTTATATCAAACATTGCACAATTCTAGTGGATTTGAAATCAGCAAGAATAAAACTGAAAATATAAACATAACCGAAAAAACGGGGACGTGGCGTATTGGTATGAGGCGCGTCTACGATCGGTCGGAGCAAAGCTTATCTTTTAAGTACTCAGAAACAACATTATTTAGAGAAAATATGATAGTAGAATGCGAGTGTTCATTTGTTACAATACAAATAATTAAGTCACTCCAAAAAGCTTTCCTTCTCCCAAGCAAAACTTACGAAATCCACATGTGATTTTTTTGCAAATGTTAACACCATCTTGAAATAGAGCAAGGTCACTTTTCTTGTATCAAGTTCTAAAAACTTTCTATTTGGAATTTCAACAATGATTTTTTGCCAGAGAATCTTGATTTTTTTAATGATAAATTCAAAAATTTCTTCCAGAAAAGTGGCAATTTTGGAGGCTGTTCAGAACGAAGCTGGAAAGCGCCTCAAATCTTCCAGTATGTCAAAACTCAATTTTTCATTATTCTGGGGAAAAGTGAAACGAGAAAAAAACGTAAGAAGACTCTCGGAGTTTAATGTTGAAAAATATGAAATGTAGAAGATGCGTTAGCGTTAGCCACATAACATGTATCATGACCATTTATGGCAGACGCAGTAACCCCGATAGGTATTTGACTCTTTATGCATGATCAATCAAAGATGTCGGAAAACAAAAGACTTCATAAAGTGTAGAAAACCAGACTTGTCATCATAATAAGTGGGAAGGCTTTGATGCATGATGATATTACTTACTTACTACACTTGCTGATATGGAGCATATTGTACCCGGAACTTTAGCGTAGACGACCCAAATAATCAGATGATTGGTATATATCCAGGGTCAACTGTTTAATTCTGAGAGATGAGATATGAATTTTTTAAAAAGGTGAAAACATACCAAAGACAAGCATTTACGAAATATCAAAGTACACCACTTACCTTCAAACTACAGACTGACGATCATCGCGGGTTGGTTCAGCACTAAGTTTTCCTCCCAGGCATGGAAACGAACCTTTACAGACCTTTCTTTCCTTACTGAATCCGCAGAAATTCTGTAAATTTTTCTACTCCGAGGGCAGGGGCGAAGTTTTGTAGTTATTTACTAATAAAGATTTCATCATTTGTCATCATTTTCATAAGAATATTTTAGATGATCTACACTTCATTGCTGATTTGCGCTGCTCTGGAAGCTTCATTCGCTCTAAATGTGCTTGTTTGGAATCCTGCTATAGCCCATAGCCATATGCGTTTCATGGGTAACATAGCGGACATACTGGTCGATGATGGACACAATGTAGTAAGTTTACTAGGTTGTCGATTATTGAAATGCATAATTTTCATACGACGCAGTACCCATCCATTAAGTGGAACATAAGTCTTGCATGAAAAGTTCAATCATATTAGAAATGCTCAGAGCAGCGTTTTATTCTGTATAGTACTTTGCATAGACAGTATTTTATCGTAAACATTACGATTTTATTTCAAACCGTATCAAAACTTGAGCAATTTTAAAATTACAACTGTTTGTAGAGAACGTCCTACCAGCGCAAACTTGTTTTATTTGGAAAGCATAGATAATAAAACAAAATAAAGAGTAAAATTGAAATTTCTGGGCCTTTTAGCATTTTTGAAGACCAAATCTTGGAAATCGCAATTTGAGTGTTTGCCTTTAATGTTGTTTCATTAAGCAATATGATAATGAAGATCCTTTTTCTGAGAATACCTTGGAAAAAATAAGGGTTTCTTATTTGAATATGTTATGAACGGATTTATTAAACCTGGAGGATATTACGGAATTTTGAAAGATTTTGATGCAGGAGTTATGTTCCAATTTAACATATAATAACATTTTATTTATAAGATGCATCTTTTAGACAATTGTCTCGCCAATAATGGATCCCCATGTGAATATGGTCGGTCATCGTTTACCGGCAGAGCAAATAACTCATCGTTCGAAATATTACGATCCGAACGATTGGCCACTGTCGAAGTAAGGAATGCTATAGTCGAGAAGATTTTCCGCGCAATATAGTATGTTTGCGGTGCCAAGCAAATGCGGTAAAATCTGCGCGTGAACAAATAGCAACGCAAGTAAGCCGGTATTTTGTGCAAGTGGCCGGCATCGCAGGCGTAGCGTTCCGTTTACGCGCAAATTTTTTTTCTCTCGGCACCGCAAGCACACTATATCATGAAAAAAATCTATTTGAGTGTAACTACCAAATTTTTGATCAAGCTGCATTTTAGCTTCAAAGACAAATTCTGGGAAGCGCCAAAGGTGGCTGTATGATCTTAGAGGATATGGATGATTTTATGAAACTCAATCAAAAAGTATGCAAAGGTAGGAACCAACTTCGGTTTGGCTCCTTCAAAATTCGCTTGATGAAGGATTGATGGAGGATACAGTCTATTATCTCAATGCCCTGCGCGATCGTCACTTTGATATTGCAATTCATGAAATTTACGACTACTGTGTAGGGGTAGGGGAACGAAAGCCGCCAGTTTGGGCTGCCTCCGCGGATTGCTGGTCCTGGAACGACGTGCAACAACACTGCGAAAGGACCAGTTGGCCTCGAAAGTCGGCTCAAACTGGCGGCTTTCGTTCCCCCACCCACTGTGTAATAGCTGTTCTCGAGGTGTTTGATCCAAGGATCGTTCCCCCTGACGAAACTTATTTCCAAGGCTTCTTTTTTCTCCTCACATCTCATTGTTTCAGATGATTGGCATCAAAAACACCATAGTCGTATCGGCAGTAGGTGTCACTTCTCATATACAAAAAATTGTAGGATTCCCATCAAACCCCAGTTTTTGTTCCAGTTAGGATTTGCCTTGCTCATTTCAGTCATGATTGCCAACTCAAAAATTTTCTAATTGCATAAAATCAATAGCTCTAATAATTTTAAGGCCTCTTCACCACGTATACTGATGAGATGTCCTTCTGGGAACGCTTGGATAATTTCAAATTTGAACTGGAAACGCGAAATAGTGACGCTCAATGGGAAATGGACATCTGGAAATTGGCTAATGAAATCAGACCTGGTTTCCCTGATTTGCTTAATGTTTGTGGCCATTTCTTCTTTGCGAAAGTTTTTTCTTCGTTTCTGGAAATACCAAAATCGCGTAATGGCCATTAAAAAGCAAGTGAAATGCTTGATTTCCGGTTCAGAAAGCAAAAAGCAGTTTGAAAACTCTACGCTAGGGTAACCAGAGTCGCTGACACTAAATATAAACTTTGCGCAGTAGCTGTTCCAATAATGCTCCCAAAAATTGTGTTTGTACCGTTTTTAAACTTTGAACATCCGCAAAAAGTTGAATAATGCAGGAGCACAACTTTCCAGATGTTTTGAATTTTTTTCGAAGCAGGGTTTTTACAATGACGCTGTAAGCTAAAAGTTCCTACCATATTCCTACAGTGATGAAGAGCTATTCTTATACTGTAAATCTGAGTTGTAGCCAGCTCCAAAACGATACCTAAAGCTTCTCACAAGGGAAGTCACACAACTTAGGTCAGGCTTTTGAAATGAGACACATATGGTTGGAATCAGCTTGGAACGCTGATTTCAAATCTGCTTTCCTCAGCTGCGAAGCGTTTCTCTAAAGCGAGTTATGAGCTTTTTCCTGGGCAAATTTTGTGTGTTGACCGACTTAGGCATGCTACGGTATCATCATCTAGGTAGTGATTCATATGCATATTGTACCCTATCAAAGCGAAATGGCTCAATTTGATGTTATTTTAATTTTCCACCACTTTTTGGGCAGATTTTCATCTAAAGACCTTCTTTCCATATTCAGTTGTATGTCAATGACACATACTAAAAAAGCTCACAACTCGCTTCAGAGAAACGCTTCGCAGCAAGATATAGCATATTTGGAATTAGCGTTCCGAGATGATTCTAAATATATGTGTCGCATTTCAAAAGCCCGACCTAAGTTAAGTGACTTCCCTTGTCAGAGACTTCGAGAGTTATTAACAAAAAAAGTAGGCATTAGTAGCATTTTTTGGAACATCATATTAATATTACAGATGTATTTTCTCCTACCAATATTTCTAAACTTATAAATTTTGGGGTTTGCATGCCAGATGTTGCTTTCGTAGTAGGTTTAAAATGTGATTGCTTTCAAAGATCGCCAGAATTATACCGTCGTTTATCTCTAATCGCTAAAATTCAAAAGTCAAACTCTCTACTTTTAAAAAGGATAGTTATCAGATAACGCCGAGGACCATACGCTATTTCTGCCTTATCTCTTGCCTTTAAAGTTATACAATATTCGGCGATCTTTTCGGTAGAATCATACATGTGAGAAAAACGTGAATGCTTTCTGTTTTGAAGAACAGGGTTTTTTGACAAAACATATTTTGCAATGTCATCAATGCTACATACTACATACTACATCTCAATACTACATTTAATGCCATCTTTACACTGTGCTGTACTCATAAAGTGAAGCAACAATTATGACCTTGTAAAATGTGAAAATCTTCTAAGAGGTGACCTTTAAATTTTAGAAGAAAAAACTGGAGCCGTTTTGTTGAATACCGTTGAAGTTACTAAATCACCGCGACCAACAGCCAATATACTACGGTATATCGGAGGGGCTACTCTTCGTGAGCCGAAGAAGCTGAATGCGGTAAAGAAATTGCTGTATTTTCGCTTGATGTTAAACAATAATAATTTAGGAACTTGATGCCTTATTAAACAAACGTCCCCAAACTGTCCTCTCGAAACACATGCCTATGAGACTGAAGCAAGGTATAAAGTTGTTCTCATGAATACTCGCCTGGAAAAAGGGATATCTGTCCATTTCCAAATGATAACTGTGAAATTGTGCGAACTTATCGATTGACATTTTCTATTTCCTCAAAGATTGTCGCTTTTTTACACTTTTTCTGATTTAGAGATAATTGCTGCCTTTGCTTCATTTCCCAACACAACATTCATATGGAAGTATGAGGAGGAAAATGATGCTATACTCTTCAAAAAATACCCGAATATATACACTATGAAGTGGGTACCTCAAACTGATTTGCTTGGTAAGTGCCTTTCATTTTTCTTCGAGGCAATCCATTTCGAAAATAATACAGTAGAGTATGCGTGAACAAATTGCGCATGTGACGCTAGCCACTTGCGCGCGCAAAATGCCAGCATTATTGGTGTGGCTAATTGTTCACGCGCAAATTTTCACTGCATTTTCTCGGCACCGCAAGCACACTATATCAAGCAAAAAATCTACTCGACTGTGAAAAAAACTGTATATTCTAGCTGACAAACGGCTGTCGCTTTTTATCACACACGCTGGCATGAATTCTGTCCTGGAAGCGGTGTTCTCTGGCAAACCGATGGTCACAGTTCCACTATTGTGGGACCAAGTCGCGAATGCGAAGAATGCGCAGAGCCGGGGTGTAGGAATTATGATTGATAAACATGATCTTAATAGAGACACACTGGTTGCGGCTATTTGAGCAACGCTGCCCACTAATGGGTTAGTTTTTTTGTGATATTTGGTGTATTTCTGTTCACTTCACAGTTGCTTCCAGCACTTACGCTCGCAAGGCAGCTAGTCTGGCCAGATATCTTCACGGACGACCAGCTGCAGCTCGTGCCGAAATATCCCACTGGGTGAAGCTGGTCGCGGAAGAAGGTCAATTGGATCATCTAGTCCTGAAGTCTAGGGACATGTCCTTCGTGACATACTATTGTTTGGACGTCCTAGCCTATCTGGCTGCTCAGTACATAATATTCTCATTTTTGATATTTAAGTTCTCCAAGTTTATTTTTACACGAATTTGTAGAGTAATTATTAGAGTCAAATCTGAATAAATATATTAATTATTTGTAAGTTTCGGGAGGCTATGCAAAGTTTCTCTGTTTCTATCAATCTCCTGCAACGACGTTGAATTGCGACGTTTGTTTAACTTCTGCTGTGCACCTTCTCTAAATCTTACATTTTAGCTGCAGAAAAAAATACTCGACTGTGTTTAAGGTGAGTGATTGTGCTTATCAGCTGTACGAGAGTTTCAGCAAAGTTGGATTTTCAGACCAGCGAATACGATAAACATAGCTATTTCTGTCAGAGGGCGCGGATCACCGACCTACCGATCTCCAGTGGCGGGAAGAAAAGCCCGCGCTGACCCCTTCGGCAGGGTATAAATACCGGGAGTCAGGGGGAGGCCTCGGAGTCCGCGCTGGAGAAGCGCTAGAGGGAGCTAACTCCGTCGAAGAGAGGCGGAACTCCCCCTTAAATAGAGAGTGCCTAGTAACTAGTTAGCCTGCCGAAGTGGTCAAGAGGATAAAGCCCGTCGTTTCGTTGTTGAGCCGTGTTCAAGTTACGCATTGTTGTTCATTGTTGTTTGTTGCCGTTTATCTGAGATAAATTGTTAGTCGTTCATTCCGTGTTGTCTATCGATCCGGTTAAAACCGTCATACCACTAGACACCCCCCCGGTTACATGGGGGCCGAACCGACCTGGATCGATTGAAATACACACGGGGCGACTGATATTGACTGTCTCAGAGGCAAGACAACAGAGAACGCGTAGAACAGGCCAAGAAGGCGAAACCAAAAGACCAAAAGGGTGGGAAATCTATACGTCAACAAGCAGGTGACGTACGTAACAGGCCAAGAAGGCCAGATCTAAGATCAACTGGAGAAAGTCCCATCATACAGAGCAGGCAGTTAAGGTGTAAGGGAGAAGTGATTATTGATCAAATCACCCACGCTTAATAGAGGCGTGAGTATCGATTGTGATTGACTCTCTTCGATCAGCTGAGACGCGCGATTTCGCGTGCGGCGTTGATTACCGATGAATGTAAAGGCAAGGCGAAGCATTTCGCTGCCGAGTACATTCATGTTCATGGATATGGATCAGAAGCAAAGAGGTGCAGATGATATTCATGAGAGAAAAGCATACTTGATGATGGAGGAGATAAGCCTCATCAGAAAAGAAGTGGAAATGTTACCTGGGATGGTAAGCAAGGTCCTTAGCCGATGTAGGATACCGGTTAATGGATTGCCACTTGAAGAAGAGTTGGAGGCTAAGGTAGCCACAGTGTTGGGTAGGCTGGAGAACCTAACAGCCGAGTTAAGCCAGATACTCGGTCCCAGAGCAATGGCAGTTGCAGTGAGGGAAGGCAGTGTGTTGAGAGGGTCGGATGACGGACCACCCGACAATCATCGAGGTGTGGAAGATCAGTTGCTCAGCTATTTTCAAAGCATGACTTTTCCTGATCCTGGAGTCTTCAAGGGCTATGAAGATGAAGACTTTGACAGATTCATTCGAAAGTTCAAAAGGAAGTATGGTACCATGGTCCAGGATGAACAGTTGCTGATAGAGGTCCTGGGTGATGAACACTTGGAAGGAAGGGCTAAGTCCTTATTTCTGAGCATACCCATGGGGGTAAAACAGCAAGGTTTTGATAGAGTAGTGAGAGAGATGGCTTCACTACTGGCCTGTGACTCCACAGCAGCTAGGTTAAAGGCACTGACAGCCTTAAGGAACATGCGCTTAAGGCCAGGCCAAGAGGTTGCAGACTTCTGCGTCGCCCTCGAGAACCTAGCAAGGAAGGCCAATCCTCAATGTACCATTGAGGAAAGATCGATGGAGTATGCGCAGATTCTACTGGAGAATCTGACGTCGTGGCCGGAATATGTGCAGCTGGTGGGAATCCTACACCAAGTGGACCCAGCCGAGGCGTACAATAAGATAAAAGAAATCGCGATTGAGATCGAACAGTCGCGAAGATTTTGCAAATTTGAAAGGAGGAGTGAACAGCAAGCTCCATCCTGGAGGAAAGCAAGTAGGACCGGGTATGTGCCAGCTAGGACGCAAAGTCGCGGCAGCTCAGCGGAAAGAGGCGAAAGGGAAATTGACATGAGAAGGCAGGAGCCAACGAGTAGCTTGAGTGCCTGTGATGAGGATCAGGAAGGCAAAAGATGCTTCAAATGTGATCATTTCGGACATGCGATGAGAGATTGTAAGCACAGGAAAACGGAGGAGGAAGGCGTCATCAAGACTTCAAATAAAGTGACATCAATGATAAGTAGGGGCCGGAACATGGTCGTAAAGAGCTCCCAATCCAACGCATACGGACTTGTTGGCGGGATTACATTGACTCAAGCGAGAGTGTTGGGAAGAAAGGTTTCGACACTTCTAGACACGGGCTCAGAGATAAGTATACTACCCGTGAAAGTGCTTATAGAAGCGAGGAACAATGGGTACGATGTCGAGTCACTTCAGACTTTCGACATTGCGGAAGGAAGCATATACGATGCATCAAACCATGTGATGAGCTTTCTCGGAGGTGTAAAAGTAGAAGTTGAATTAGAAGGTGGATGCAAGAAGGAAGTGGCTTTTCATGTTTCGGACGATACTAATGAGGAAGTACTCATTGGCACAAATGCATTGAAGAGTCTAGGGGCGGAAGTAGTGATACACAAGAAGCTTGAAGTCAAAGTAAAAGCAAAGGATAGGATGGTGCCTCCACACAAGAGAAACACCGCCTCAGTTAGAGCGAAGATTCAACAAGGTACCATAACTGTGAACAAATCTACCTCAGAGAAAGACACATCTGTAACTGTCAACAAGAAGACTTTTATCGAGAGAAAAAGAGATATCAAAGCAGACAAAAGAATCTGGCCAGGGGAAGCTTGTGAGCGCAAGTGGAAGAAGTCGACATGTAGGAAGGGCAGCAAAAAGCACACTCCTTCCAGAAATAATCGGAAAATGTGCGGAGAGGCACAGAAAGGAGTCAAAGTTCAAAAGACAAGCAGTAAGAAAGGACAAAGTTTTGAGAAGGAGCGTCCTGTTGCGTTTATTGCACCGAGATGTGCAACATCATTTGAAGAAGTTGGGCTGAAGAAGTGTGGAGTACTGACTAAGGTGGCAGTATCATTCAGTCAACTCAAAGAAGCTTTGAAATACTTGAAGAACTGTCGTATGTGGATCATAGTATGGCCCATGAACCCAAGAAGGGAGGATGAGGCTATCATTGAGACTTTGCGGATATGCAAGAAGTACCTCGAAGAAGGAGGAAAGATTGTATCCGTGTGGCCGTCACCAATGTCCAAGAAGATTGATATGTGGAAAACGAAGTCAAAAGTGTGGACGGTGATCGAATCAGTGCTGAAAAAATGGGCAAACCCAAATCAATTGTTCACGTTGGCTCCCTCAAGGACAGAAAATAGGAGAGTGACCATGGGAGCAGATGGACCCCAAAATTTTTTTCAGGTATCCGACACGCATTTCAGGGATGGATATGCGCGATTCCTCTACAACGTCATTCGCAGGAGAGTTCCCGGCGCAAAGCTCAGCAAGTGGCAGCAGCCGCCGAGGACGTCGGCTCCCCGGAGGGGAGGGATGTCAGAGGGCGCGGATCACCGACCTACCGATCTCCAGTGGCGCGAAGAAAAGCCCGCGCTGACCCCTTCGGCAGGGTATAAATACCGGGAGTCAGGGGGAGGCCTCGGAGTCCGCGCTGGAGAAGCGCTAGAGGGAGCTAACTCCGTCGAAGAGAGGCGGAACTCCCCCTTAAATAGAGAGTGCCTAGTAACTAGTTAGCCTGCCGAAGTGGTCAAGAGGGTAAAGCCCGTCGTTTCGTTGTTGAGCCGTGTTAAAGTTACGCATTGTTGTTCATTGTTGTTTGTTGCCGTTTATCTGAGATAAATTGTTAGTCGTTCATTCCGTGTTGTCTATCGATCCGGTTAAAACCGTCATACCACTAGACACCCCCCCGGTTACATTTCTAATTTATCTAAATTACGATCTTAATGAGCCATTGGTTGAGGCTCACATTTACTAAGAGAGTAGGTACCATTTGATTCGTATTGGCGGCTGGAAGGCGGGGCTTCGTGACCTAGTTAAGACTAGGTGATCAGAGAGCACAGCGCGAGAGAGACGCCGAATGCGTCGAGGGCGCGAGACTTGATTAGATCACAGAGCCCCGCCTTCCAACCGCCAATAGATGTGAATGAAGGGTAAAGTGAAAACTTCCCATTCGGCAAAAAAAAGGAAAGTAGAAGTAATCTAAGCTGCAGGACATTCATCAAGCCCACCCCAAGATCAAGAATCAGTAAATTCATTGATTTTCGGCGATCGTTCCCAAATCAGAGCAAGTGATCCATAAATAACTGACTTAAGCAATAAATATTTTTTACAAACTTTCGCTCGAAATCCGTAATATCAATCAGCTTGAGGTGATTTTTCAAAGGTAAAAGTTAGAAAGTATTGCTCCTTCCATGTGAAGTTTGTCTGATATTTAACAATCCCGTCTGCAAGATCGCGTGAATAAAGTGTTTCTCGTTTTCAGGATCCTATGAAGGGGAATTCAGATGACTGAAAACGTCTATAGAAACTTCTGGTGACCGCTATAAGCACCCGCAATTGGCAAGCTCAGTTACTACGAAACATGCGCAAATTTGCGCACTAATTTCCTATAAAAAATACCAATAATTAGTTACTAACACA